AATTCATCACCTTATCAACCAAAAATGAATGGTGCAGTCGAAGCTACTAATAAGAATATAAAGAAGATCGTCCAGAAGATGGTCAGAACGTATAAAGATTGGCATGAAATGTTGCCTTTTGCTCTACATGGCTACAGAACATCTGTGCGCACTTCGACAGGGGCAACCCCATTTTCGCTTGTCTACAGCACTGATGTCGTGCTCCCTATCGAAGTAGAAATCCCTTCATTGAGATTTCTGATGGAGACCAAACTTGATGAGGCAGAATGGTTAAGACAAGGTACGACCAACTCAATTTGATTGATGAAAAGCGGTTGGCGGCCATCTGTCATGGCCAGTTGTACCAACAGAGAATGAAAAGAGCATTTAACAAAAAGATTCGTCCTCGAAAGTTTTATCCTGGTGATCTGGTCCTAAGAAGGGTCATCATACAAAGCCATTCCGATCCAAGGGGCAAATGGACTCCCAATTACGAGGGGCCATACATCATGAAGAGAGCTTTTTCAGGAGGTGCTTTAATCCTGACAGATATGGATGGGGAAGATGTTCCGCTCCCAGTCAATTCAGACTCAATCAAAAAATTCTACGCATAAAGAGACCCGCTAGGTCGAAAACCCGAAAGGGCAACTTAGGCAAAAAAATGGGCATCCCGATGGGCACAAAAGTCCAGGCAAAAGTTAGGGATAAAATGAAAAAAAATAACAACCCGCCAGGTCGAAAACCCGAAAGGGCGACTTAGGCAAAAATGGGTATCCCGTTGGGTCGAAAACCTGAAAGGGCGATCCAAGCAAAAATTAGGGATTTTAAGTGAGAGGCTGTAGTCTGAATGCTCTTCACAAATGACGCGCACACATCTATAGCACCTTGGCAGTGAATTGACCGATCCAACTATTACTCTTCGGAGGCAAGGCATTGAGACAACTTAGGATATGGGAACTGTAGCAATACCGGTTTTAATGGAAATTCGTGCATCTCTCATTGCCATTTATGCCTGTTGTACTTTTTTCGTTTCTGTTTTGCAACTGCCTCATATAGGAGTTGCTTCCTTGTACGAATGCCTATTCACAGGCCAATCAATAAAATCTGTTTTCATCAAAGTTGCCTCTTATTATCATGAAATGTTTTTATATGCGGGATATGTTTTATGTGATAATTAAACATGGCATTAGAAACATAGGGAATAAAAATTCTCAAGCCGAGATAAAACTTGACTTCACGTCAATGTATAACCATGTGGGGATGTCATATGCACTCCAAATGTTGTTTTTCCTTGCAGGTAGCAATTTGTAACGGTCACCCTGACCTAGCCAGCACGCGAAGCTGCCTTCATCTGCTACAGACAATTTCAAACCTGGATTCCCCAAGTGAGTTCAGAAAATTCGGAGTCGCCATTTGACCAGCACGCGCAAGTGCACCCTCAGTGGAGCTAATCAAGAACATCCCCAATGGAGCTAAACCGGGGCATTCGCAAAGCTAAACCGGAGCATTCGCAAAGCTAAACCGGGGCATTCACAGAGCTATACCGGGGCATTCACAGAGTTCAACCGGGGCATTCATAGGTGTCCATGCCCATCTTTTATCCCCAAATGATTCAAGAGATAATTCCCTAGTGTGCGTAAACATGGGACATGTATTCGGAGAAATTCACATGGTGTTCAATATCCATTCTTCGGCATATTCAGTTCTACCATCTTCTTCAGTTCAAGATGTGTGGAAGTCTATCTGGATTATCTCTTCCCCAATGGTACGATTCAGGATTCAGCATCGTGCTTGAAGACTCGTTTCGTCCGCAATTCAATCTTCAGCGGAGTCATCAATAATCTGCGGTATTGTGGGCTCCCCAATGCAGATTTTTATCAGTATCCCCAGCAATCTTTGGTACTGCATACTTCCAGCGTCGATACGTATTGGCATCCCCAGTGATGAGCATGGTTCCCGACAAGCCTTCTCTTATCCCCATGAAGTTTATTTCTTCACACTGCATATAGTTATCACTGCATAACATTACATCCTCAAAAGCGCGTAGCCGATCCATCATAATGGATCTTTGCGGAAAAAGAAATTCAAACATGCATACAAAGCATAAGCCAGATCAGGTACCTTACACAAAAGACCTAAATTATTCAAGGACAACAATACGTCCCTACAAAAAGATATCATGCCCAAAGTCCCCAGTCAGTGACCTTCACCTTTTCAATGCCAAACAAAATCAATACACTTTGCCATTCTAAACCCAGTTCTTGTCTGGTAACCAGTTCCCTAAACACTCGTTCATGTCATTTATCTAAACAATCATCATGTCGTAACCCATGTTTCCTTCGTCGAACCTGAGATCGCCCGTAGGCTAGGTTCTTCCTCAGATCATCTTAGAACCTGAGATCGCCCGTAGGCTAGGTTCTTCCTCAGATCATCTTAGAACCTGAGATCGCCCGTAGGCTAGGTTCTTCCTCAGATTATCTTAGAACCTGAGATCGCCCGTAGGCTAGGTTCTTCCTCAGATCATCTTAGAACCTGAGATCGCCCGTAGGCTAGGTTCTTCCTCAGATCATCTTAGAACCTGAGATCGCCCATAGGCTAGGTTCTTCCTCAGATCATCTTAGAACCTGAGATCGCCCGTAGGCTAGGTTCTTCCTCAGATCATCTTAGAACCTGAGATCACCCGTAGGCTAGGTTCTTCCTCAGATCATCGTCGAACCTGAGATCGCCCGTAGGCTAGGTTCTTCCTCAGATCATCTTAGAACCTGAGATCGCCCGTAGGCTAGGTTCTTCCTCAGATCATCTTAGAACCTGAGATCGCCCGTAGGCTAGGTTCTTCCTCAGATCATCGTCGAACCTGAGATCGCCCGTAGGCTAGGTTCTTCCTCGGATCATCTTAGAACCTGAGATCGCCCGTAGGCTAGGTTCTTCCTCAGATCATCGTCGAACCTGAGATCGCCCGTAGGCTAGGTTCTTCCTCAGATCATCTTAGAACCTGAGATCGCCCGTAGGCTAGGTTCTTCCTCAGATCATCGTCGAACCTGAGATCGCCCGTAGGCTAGGTTCTTCCTCAGATCATCTTAGAACCTAAGATCGCCCGTAGGCTAGGTTCTTCCTCAGATCATCTTAGAACCTGAGATCGCCCGTAGGCTAGGTCCTTCCTCAGATCATCTTAGAACCTGAGATCGCCCGTAGGCTAGGTTTTTCCTCAAATCATCTTAGAACCTGAGATCGCCCGTAGGCTAGGTTCTTCCTCAGATCATCTTAGAACCTGAGATCGCCTGTAGGCTAGGTTCTTCCTCAGATCATCGTCGAACCTGAGATCTCCCGTAGGCTAGGTTCTTCCTCAGATCATCTTAGAACCTGAGATCGCCTCTTGGTTAGGTTCTTCCTTCAAATCATCGTCGAACCTGAGATCGCCTCTTGGCTAGGTTCCTCCTTAGATCACCTTCTTAGAACCTGAGATCGCCTCTTGGCTAAGTTCTTCCTTTAAATCTTCTTCGAACCTGAGATCGCCTCTTGGCTAGGTTCTTTTCATACATTTTGTCTTAGAATCTGAGATCGCCCTTTGGCTAGATTCTCTGTCAAATCACTCTCATGTGTCACCCTTGGATCGTAGGTCGCCCGTAGACCTCATCCGCTGTCTTTTCATACCAACCATTTGTATTGTATTGGCATCAGGCCACGTTACAAGTCCAATCTCTGTCTCTTCATTGGAAAAACAAATTTCTTTTCCCCAGCAGATAACACAAAAATAAATAAAGAAAACACTCTCTCTCTCTCTCAGGACAAATTTTTGGCATTGATATTTAATCATCTTCAACCTTGAACTTCCGAAAGGCATGCACAAATCGTACTTTCAGGTTTAAGACGATTAAATAGGGGCAGCTGTAATACCCCAAATTTGTCCCACCCTTCTACTTTTATCTGGTTTATGCATTGTCGCACTTTTCTCATGTACGTATCTCCATTAGGTCATTTAACATTGCATACACTCGCTAACAACATAATTTGGCATGAGATCGGAGATCTTGAAGGATTAGGGTTCTGCAGTGGCTAAGGCGTTCATATCCAGTAAAAGTCGATTCCTTTTGTAGAGGCATTAAGGTTGTGATTTGTGGTTATTGAGATTTCCTTCTCCTTAAGCTACGAAGCTATTATCTCCATGTTAACAGCAGGTCACCGAGCTTTCCTCTTTAGAGCTAGGAATCTAGGTTTTATATCCTATTTTACTTGGGTTTGTCAATATTTTTACTGGATGTTTGATGGATAGAAAAAACATGATGAGAGAGGAAATTGTGCAGCGTAGCAGAAAATGCATAGGAAGAATTTGTATCAGGAAAATAATGGAAAAAAATAACAATAAGTTGGAATTAACCCCCTAACTATTATAACAGGAAGTCTAGAAAAATCCATAACCAATTTTTCTAACTATTCATACTAGGAAAAAAAATCGACTAAAGGAGTTTTTGATCGGGGTTATTTGTTAAAGGTCCCAAACGTGAGGAAATTTGATGAGTTGTTGGGAAAAATCGAAAGAATCGGCCGAATTTGAAGTTTCTCGCATTTTTAGTGATATGGGCTCTTAATAATTTTTAGAAGATTTTTCAAAATATGGTAAACTTCATGGCTATTTTTGAGGTCCCGTTTAGACTCAAATGCAAAATCTCCGAACATGCAAGTTGAAGATCAGATTCTCCTCTCCAGTTTTGATTCAAGAATCGTACTATTCGGAGGTTCGTAGAGAAAGTTATGATGTTTACGTTTTGAAGGCTTGAAAGGTAAAATGCTGCCAAGACTTGCCTTGCCTGGCCAACATTTCATCGAGCAGGTGGCAGGCACATGTTTAGTACGTTTTTATCATGGATTTACGTCTCGTTTCGAAATATGTCAAACATGAAAGTTGGAGTGTGTCACACACTCTTCATTTTTGGTTCAAACTTCGTCTTGTTTTGTGCACCGTGGAAAGAAATATCGAAGCGCAAAGTAGGAGGATTGAAGAGGACGAGAGGTAGGTGCCACGCATGGTATTTGTAATGCCAAGCCTGGCATTTTGTCGAACAGTTGCAAGGCATATACGTATGGCATTTTTCTTTACGATTAAGGCCGTGTCCGGATTGGAAGCAAACTGTGAACTTGTTCTATCATTTGTCCTCTTTCCAACGGTATTAAATTTATGGCGTTTGGATCATCATTGGGAAAGTTACGAGATTTTGAAGTCGTGGTGATGGAATTGAGTTCTGCATGGTGAGTTTCCAGTTATCGCGAAAAGTTTTGGTACCACGGCTTCACGATCATTTTTTTATGTTTCGAGAGTTAGCTCAAGAAATTTTCCAACATGAATGTTGTTTAGGGAAATTCACTCTTCAACTTTTATGTTGAGACTTTATCTTGAAGAACGCTATATCTCGAGTTATTGAATCATGAAAAGGAGGTTGGAGCATTGACGGGAAATTGTCGGTAATGACAGAATTGCCGGTGTTTATTTCAGTTACGGTTTCATAATTTCAGGACCATCTTAGGACGGGCTATGGTCGTTATTTCGAGGCGAGGCCAACACGAAGAATGTTCCTTGATACGTCCTCTTTTTAATGTTATCAAGATCGCGCCGAAAGGAGTGTTATAGCGCAAGATATACAAGCATGAAGGCGGTCATGTGACCATGCATAATAACATAATCTTTTGGAAAAAAGGCTATTGTATCATAATTCCGTATGCATGGGATGACAGTTTTGATGGCCATGCAATAATTTACTGCATGTATAATGATAGTAACTATAAGGAGCCTTTGCTATTTTTTTAATCCAAAAGACCGTAACAAACTGTCGGCAACAAAAAAGTTTTGTCTCATGCTCGCGACGGTAACAAGAATAACTTGGCTCATAACAGAATGTAACAAACTTTCTCTCATTGGCAACAACTTCACCCTCTTCATAACAGTAACACTCCCACTCTCTCTTTCTTTTTTCCATGACATTAACCACCATAACAGAAAAGAAACTCGCTCTCTCTCCCTTCCATCATCTTTAACCCCTCGACTCTCTCACTTCAACCATAACAAAGATACTCTCTTTTCTCTCATCTTCACCAAAAAAACAGAATGGGATCTATAACGCTCTCACATGGAATGATTCTCGCAAATTTGTGAAACTCTTCTTCGGATCGCTTTGTCAAGAACTGGTGCCTTCTATTTCGCTCTTCATCCTCTTAAATGAATCATTAAGTCGTTCTTCTTCATCTCAGAGCGCAAGAGTTCCTTTCTCATGCTATTCATCCGTTAAATCCGATGCCGCCATGGTTCTGATCGAATTTTCTTTCAAAGATTCACGCACAGCACTGAGTTTACATCTCAGTATATTGAATATTTCTACAGCTCTTCTTCGTCATCAAGATTGTGGAGGAAGACGCATAGATTTTTATGACGAAAATCTCACTCGTATAACCTTCAACAGGTATGTTGTATTGAATCTTTCTCAGCATGTTAGAGCTCCGTGAATAGATCTACATGTGCATATGGAGTCCTCTTTAAGAGGCATGGTTCGCTGGTCAGTGTATGAGGTTTATATCCATGAATCTTGTTTTAATGAATCGCTGAGATTTTTCTCGAATCTTTCTTTTAAGTGTCGGTATGGTTATTTAAGCATTGGATTCGTGAGCCTCTCGAGAATTTGAGTAGACTAGTGGTGGTGTTGTTTTGATTCCGGTAGGCGTAGCTACCGTCGACGGTGGCGAGAGGAGGAAGATGATTGGAACTTTGGATTAGGGTGTACTGTTCATCCATGAAATATGTGAGGTGGCGTACGGCTATTAGCTCATGCGTTTAGTCTTTATACCTTATTAATTAATTTTTTTCTTTTTGTTGTTACAGTAATAAGAAAATTGGTTTATAATGAACATGGAAATTAGTAAGCCAAATTGATTTTTTGTTTAGACTCATAGTAAATTTGGAATGGGCCTAAAAACGTACTACCTCATACCCCCTTTGACCGGGCTGGTTGGCACTGCATTTTGGGCCTTTTTTTTTTAAATTTGTTTGAAGCTTGGGTTACACAACAAAAACAGACAAAAACAACTCTTGGATTTCTTTCTGACAGGGCCTCAGCTCTAATTTACTGCACTATACACCCCTGGACTTCAATTTCATACCCCCATGACCCTCATATTTTCCTATTAAGATTTAAGACTTTTCTTAGTTTTTTATTATTATTCCTAATGATAGGAGAACTATAAAATCAATAAAACTTAGATCTTTTTTTAATATAAATTTTAGGAATTAATTCTCTATTTATTTTTTAGAATTCCCTCTTCATAAAAAACTAGTAAAAAAAATACTTTTTCTTTCTTGTTTTCTTCCGTATTTTCATGCCGCTTTGTCATGTTATTTTGACGCATTTGGTCATTGTGCACGGTAGATCCATTTTGTTTTTGATCATGTAACATAACGAGTTGTTATGTGATTGAAGCATACGACTTATGCTCACGTCTGATGCGACACGCTTTATTTCTCATCGTCTTGAGAAATTCATATCGTTTTATATGTTATTCTGATGCGTGTGATACTTCATGAGCTTTGTGCAGGAACTTCGGATTACGCGTTGCATTCCCATTACGCGTTTACCTTCATCTTAGTTGGATATCATTTCTGACTTTGTTTGTTTCTTGGTGAAGCTTGCTCGATACGTACTCCTTACTGCTCCAGTGATTTCGTCCGCTCTTGACGACTTGCTCGCTTTGGTAGCCTCTGCTACTACCCTTGTATTTTTCCGCACTTTACCGCTTTTCTAGATACCATGAGAAGTAGGAAATAAAGAGCGTGCGCTCGAAGTCGCTGTTTAAAGACCTGTAGCAGGCATTCCGCACTTCATTTGCTATATGTGGTGTGCTTGTGTTTGTTTACTTTCTTGTCGATCGATGAGTCACTCAATTTAGAAATTGAGATCATGACTTCGCTCTCAGTGCATGCTCCCTATAGGACTTTATTGCTTTCATTTATTTTCTGCCGATCGATGAGTCACTCAATTTAGAAATTGAGATCACGACTTCGCTCTCATTGCATGCTCCCTATAGGATAGTTTTTTAGACTTTTCTTTGACATGCTAACCTAGGCAGAATCTCTTTAGGTGTGCTCTGTTTACTGGCTTGCTTGCTTTATCCTTGTACATACCATATTCCCTTAGGATGCGCTTGCTCCGTTCGAACGCAAGTTAGACTTAGGGCTACCATTGCATGCTAACATTAGGTAGAAATTTCCCCTTTAATTCATCCTTGACTTAGGGCTACCATTGCATGATAACATTAGGTTAGAAATAGGATAGTCTCCCTTAGACTCTTTTCTTCCCCTTTTTGCATCCTTGCATTCAAAACAAAAACTTCTCTTCTCAGCAAATCAAAAACATGCTAATCATACCTAAACCCTTTTTCAAGGTAAAAAAAATACAAAACAAATTCAAACCATTTTTGTGCGCTCGAGCACCTTCCTCTAAACCCTTTTCAGGTAAGGACGTGATTAGTTTACTTCTGTGCCAACGCATAAGTCTCCAAAGGTCGAGCTGCGGCAGAAGGCGGAATTAACATTGTCCATAAAAAACACAAAACAAACAAAAACATGTGAGCCGAACTACGGTAGCTCTGATTCCTTAAAAAGGATACGTAGGCATTGGGGTAGGGCCCAGACGAGCACAATTTTATTTTTCCTACATTCTTTTCCCTTTTCATTTGCATGCATTCCTTTTAGTAGTATAGTAAACAGTAAGCATAGATTAAACACACCCATAAGATAGATAACAAGAGTGGATACCGTAGAGTACTACGGGCGTGTGGGGTGCTAATACCTTCCCCTCACGTAACAGACTCCCTTACCCGATCTCTCGGTCGCAAGACCGTGACTTCTCCCTTCTCAGGTTTTCTCGATGTTTACCTTTCCCTACATGTGGGATAAAAGACGTTCGATGGCGACTTCATTGTTTTGATGATTTTCAGCCGGTTGTTTCAACCCCCATCCCCTAAATATTGTAATAGCATAAGACTTTACATTTCTGCAATTTATCGCTTTCAAATGTAAATGCTAGTAATTAGGGTGTGTATGGAAAGACATGAAATTGACAAATAGATCACCCTAATCAAGACTAAATGCATGCAATCAAACACACTTTGCACACATGCACCCTTAGGGTAATCTCACTTGTTGCCTATTGGAAAATAGTCATGTCCCTCGAACATGGGCGTTTTAGCAAAAGACCCTCGATAAAAGATCATAGTCCCTCAATGACCCTTGATGTTGCCTTCGGTAAATGATCTAGTCCCTAAAATGACATTGCTAAAACGTCCCATATGTTGCCTTCTATGACTATACAAACGTCCCAATGCCCGTCCCTTTACATCCAACGATGGGGCTTCTTACCGAATCAATGGTAAGATAGTCACATCTAAAGGAGAAGGAAAAGCACATTTAAGACCTTTCGAGTAGGTAGATTCGCTCCTAGTTACTCGCTTGCTCACAACAAAAACATTTTATACACCAACACTTTCATTTTGAAACATTTTCGAAAGACAACACTCTGTACGCGTTCTTATAGAAACGAGAACCATTACAAAGACACCTTTTCAAAATCACTTTCAAAAACACATCTCACAAACACCTCTTTGAACTATTTTCGAAACAAACACTTTGAATGCGTTCTTATAGAGACGAGAATCATTACAAAGTTACATTTTCAAAATCCACCACACAAAGCACCATTTCAAAAACAAAAGCAAGTGATCTAGCAAGTAACTAAGAGCCCATGGAAAACCATGGATGAAAAGGGTGCTAATACCTTCCCTTTTCATAATCTACCCCCCGAACCCGAGAAAACATCTCTAAAGGTCTTTCCTGTGCTTTTTCACCTTTTCTTTTTGGATAAAAGAAAAGTCGGTGGCGACTCTTGCTAAACCGCAACATTTGCAAACACAAACGCAAACCTTCAAGTCAGTTCTCCCACCGTATCACATCTTCCATTTCAGATTTCTTCGATCAAGTTCCTGTCGTTAGGTCTCTTTCGTATCTAATATCTCTGATAGATCCTGATGTAGTTGATCTCTTTCTTCAATACCCAGTAATTATCTTGTATGTCTAATCTTGACCTGGCATACATCTTCTGATAAAAAAACCAAAAGTTTCATCCTAATCCAAATGGTTTCATAGTGCAAATTTTATAGTTCTAACAAGTATTCAATCCTCTTCCACCTTGGTTGTTTAAAAGGCGTCCTCCAATCTCACCCCCTGGTTAAAGAAGATTGAATAGGGGCAACTGTTGTACCCCAAAATTTTCCCTCTTCATTTTTTAACTCTAATTGGCTTGTACTTTTGTTAGCATATACATGCATGCATATCATTGGATCCATACACATGGGATAAAGGCATTTCATCAATGCAACAAAGCTCTCATATTTTTTAAATCATGTCGAGTTGTGAAAGATTTGGGGTTTCCAGTAAATTTAAAGCAGTGCGAATTAGAAACAGTACTTCACCCGATCTGAGTTTAAAAATATGTATCTCCAATTTGGAGAATGGTTTTTGGTTGATTCTTGAAGATTTGAAATCGTCTGGATGTCTTCTCCAACTTTCATGTTCAGACCAAAAGTTAATCCTCGAAGAAAGGTCTATGAATATGCAGTTCTCTTGGAAGTTATACAATGAAAAATATAAAGAAAAGTGTGTTGAATCGTGGTTTTTTGTGCATTAGAAATTTCATAACTCCCGGATGGAATATTGTATGCGCGCTGTTTTGATTTCTGAAATCCCATCTCGATGTCATATTGATGTCGTCTTTAGAAGTCAAAAGATGATTCACTAAGGCAGGACCCGTGAACTTTGAGTTTCCAAAGACATGTTTGTGCTGAACCGAAATTCATTTGTATTAATGTTTTATACGGTAAAATTCACATCTCGTTCGATTTTTATCATATTGAGCTGAGCCCGGAGGCATTGGTTCAAAAATTTCATCTACTACAGTTTCTCTTCAGATGCCAAAATTAAATGGTGACTCGAAGACTTCCATTTTCTGTCTGTTTTGCGTGTGATGCAATAGAAATACTGTACAGGAAATTATTTTGCCTGACACAGTGTCAGTGAAACTTCAAAAATTCATAACTTCCTTGTCATTTACTGGATTGAGCTCATTCTTTTGGAAACACATCACAAATTTGATGATCTTCATTTTTCATGTTGGATTCGGTTCAAGATTTCGTACAGATGATGACGTGACACTTTTTGTACGTACCGAGTTTACACTGTCAAATGGAGGCTCAACTCAATTTCTCATCCAAGGTCCAATTGACCTATGTATATAATCTTGAAATATGAATTTTCAAATGGGGGATCTCATAATTCACCAATTCTCAAAAACACAAGTCTAATAATTCTCTCAATTCTCAAGGATCAAATCAAAGTTTTCTCTACTTTTTGATCAAGAACACAATAACAATTTTATCAAGAATCCAAAGTCAAGATTTAGAGCAATTATTCTACGATCTTCAATCCATTCATTGTGATCACTATACCTAGACCTCCTCTTCACTTCTATCGGTGAGCTTTCTTGAATTAAGCACTTTTGAAATAAGTGATTATTTGAGAAGCACTTTTTTGATCAAGCATGAATTGAATCTAGGTTGAATTTTGAGTTGAGAACTTAGATCTAGTGCTATAATTGTGAATTGATTTGACAATCATGTGTAAATATGGGATTGGATAATTGAATCAAGTGCTTATTTGACTTAAGTGATTGTTTCATGAAAGTGCTTAATTTTTAACTCAAATGGTTGATGTTGCATGAAGCCTAATTGTTGATCTTATATCAATCACGTGTTATTTGAATCTAAACCATGGATTATGCAAAATCATGTGTTGAATACATAAAGACTTTGTGTTTAATTAAATATCCAAGCCATTGAAAATGCTCAAAAATCTGTTAAAACTGTCTCTGACATGCGGGTAACCGGTTACCCGATTATGATAACCAGTTACCATCCATTTTATTCGTAAAAAATTTCAAAACTGTTACGTGATAACCGATCACCCAATTGTGATAACCGGTTACCCCAAGTCAGAAGCAAATTTCCAAAACCTTCAAGGTTTTGGTAACCGGTTACCCAATTATGGTAACCGGTTACCTCAATTCAGTAGCTACTTTCTCATATTCTTGAGTTAGGGTAATCGGTTACCCAAATTCTGGTAATCGGGTTCCCAAACCAAAAAACATCAACTTCCCATTTTTATTTTGTTTCATTTTTCATTGTGATTTCTCTTTTGGCTTAGTTTTTCCTTGTTATTTTTGACATGTGTGTTGGTTGTGCAAGGACTCGTAATAAGGGATTCTCATGATGATATTAATTCACGTCCCACTTTATTTGGGGAACATGAATTAAATATCCTATTTGATCCGTATTTCACTTTATTTACAAGATACGAATGTGATTCAGACGAGTTTATGCTTTGATCCTCTTTACTTGAGGAATACACATATTTGTTGTGTTTTTTTTCTGGATTGTATTTTTATGCAGGATGACTCTTGTGGTGGTGTCCGATGCACATCATTTTTGTGATTTATTTTCACACAGTTTGCTTCGAGGCTTATGTTGGACATCCGATTTCTGATTTGCTTTGTTTGATGATGCTAGCTTACTCGAAGTTCTCCAGGTTTCTCATTTTTTCTTGCTTGCTACGGATTATTATCTGTTTGGTATTCCACTGCTTCCTTTTTTGTTTCTTTCACTCTTTACAGTTTTCTAGATAGTTCTGGGAGCCTCCATAGTGGCAAAGTCACTATTTAAAGACATGTAGCAGGTATTCCACACTTTATTTTCTATATGTGTTGTGCTTGTGTTTTCTTCCTTGGTTGTTGATCAATGAGTCACTCAATTTATAAATTGAGATCACGACTTCGCTCTCAGTGCATGCTCCCTATAGGATTTTATCGTTTTCCTTTATTTTTTGTTGATCGATGAGTCACTCAATTTATAAATTGAGATCACGACTTCGCTCTCAGTGCATGCTCCCTATAGAATTTTATCACTTTCCTTTATTTTTTGTTGATCTATGAGTCACTCAATTTAGAAATTGAGATAACAACTTCGCTCTCATTGCATGTTCCCCATAGGATAGTTTTGTTAGACTTTCTTTGGCATGTTAGCCTAGATAGGATTTCTCTAGGTGTGCTCTCTTGAGCCTTTTAATTGTTGATTTATTTTCCTACCTTGATCCTTAATATCTTGGTTAGGAATTTGACCTAGGTTAGCGTGCGCTACTCATGACACATTGTGTGAGCTCCCTTGAGCTAGCTCTCTTGAGCCCATTGACTTGCTTACTTTATTTCATCTTTGTGTGCATGTTTTGAGATGATATACCCTCAACATTTTCCCTTAGGAGCTCTCGATTCATCTATAAATGATGATTCGAGATAGACATAGTTTTAGATAATAGACCCTTGCTATGCTCTTTTAGGACTTCTTGATTCATCTACAGATGATGATTTGAGATAGACATTAGGATTGTTATCCATGCATGTCAACATAGGGTAGAGATTTCCCTTCAAAACTCAACTTTATGATCAATAATTGTATGATAACAATAGGGATTAGACTTAGATAGTCTCCCTTAGATGTTTTTTTCTTTTTCATCCTTTGCATTTAAAACAAAAACCTTCTTTTTTATCGGCAAATGCATAAAACATCTAAAACTTTCAAATATTTTTTTCAAGGTAAATAACACCAACCAATTCCTTTCTTTTTGCCAATCGACTTTTCTCTTCTAACAACATGTTAGTTCCTTTCCACTACAGGTCATAAGTCTCCAGAGGTCGGCCCGTAGTGGAATGATTGAGTCTAACATTGTTCAAATAAAAAACACAAACCCATCAAAACAAGTGAGCCGAACTAAGACTGCTCTGATTCCTCAAAAGAGATACGTAGGCATTGGGGTAGGGTCCAGACGAGCACAACTTTATTTTACCTACATTATTTTCTCTTTTCTTTTGCATGCATTCTCTCTTTCTTTTTACTTTAAACCTTAGACATAGACTTTAAACACACTCTATGATTAGAATGACAAGAGTGGATATCATAGATTACTACAAGCGTGTGGGGTGCTAATACCTTCCCCTTGTGTAACAGACTTCCTTATATAATATCTCGGTCGTTTGACCCTGATTTCTCCCTTCTCAGGTTTACTCGAGGTTTGTCTTTCCCTTCCTGTGGGATAAAAAGTTCGATGGCGACTTTGTTAATTTCATTATCAGTTGATAGTTCAGCCTGTTGTTTCACATGGGTGCTTCCAGGATCAGGTTTAGGTGTGCTACCTCCTACAGGATTTCACCTCTCCTCACGTTCAAGGGTGTCTCAGTGTCACCTGAATCAAAGGGATGTCGGTTAGGTGTCTGAGTTGTGCGTTCCCAGGGCCTGTCTCTTGAGTTTGCCCGAGAAGACTCCAGTTTCTTTCCTGATCCTTCTTCTTTGGTCTTACTTCTCTCAGGGGCATCTCTGGACCTTTTTTCCAGGTTGCTTTTCTCACCTTTTATGTAGCAGTCCTCCCTGGTGATGATCTCGTTCATGTCGGACACAGGCTTCTGGGCTAAGGATTCATTGAACTGTCCTGCTCGAAGGTCGTTTTGAAATGCTCCAACGAACAGTTTTTCATTTGGATGAGATAATTTGATAGTCTCTTTGTTCAACCAGGCTAGGTATTCCCAGAGAGACTCTGCATGACCTTGTTGAACGTTGAACAAGGATTTCGTGGACACCTTGCGGTGATTGTTAGCGGAGAAGTGCTGGATTAATTTCTTCATCAGGTCCATGTAGATTTTCAAGGATATTCGTGGTAGGCTCATGTACCACCGTAGAGCCATGTTCTTGAATGTGTCATCCATTAGTTTACATTTCAATAAGTCGGTGGGGCCAATTATCTCCATTTGGTTGTTGATGGCGATATCGTGCTCATGAGGGTCAGTTTTACCGTCATACGCGGTCAATGATGGTGATTTGAAGTTTTCTGGAACTTGGTCGTCCCAGATAACTTGCGATAGAGGTTGAGGTTCTATAAGCTCCTCCTCTGGATCGTCGTCCCCTGCGCTTCTTTGTTGTAGATCTGTTACGCTGTCCTGCAGAGTTTTGTTCTGTTTTCCAAAGGCCTCCACCATGGCTAGTAGTTGCGCCATGTCTGGGGGGTCTCCAGGTGACGGCCTTCTGCAGAAGGTGAATTGAGGTGTGGCCTAGGAATAATTTTACCTAGACCCCACGGCGGACGCCAATGTTCCTGTGTAGAATAAATATCCGGCCGACTTTCCAGGAGGTTGCTTAGGAGAGTCCACCAGAGTGAATTTATGAGATGATTGGGGGATTTGGGAGCTACGACAGTGAAGCGTGCGTCCTAAGATGAATTTCTTGCTTATTCCTCTGTCGGGAGCCCCTTTATATAGTGATTATCTTTGCTTCATCAAGAGTCTCAGTTAAAGAGTGACTCTTGAGTTTCACAACTACATAACCTTTGTCGTCTCCATAAATGAAGATGATTAATATTGTGTAACGTAGTAATGAATGCACCGTAGGCGGTTACTAGCTTTAATGAGCCGAGATGATGATCGATTACGGGCAGGTGCCTTCCGACTATCTACCCTATCCGGATCGATTGTAACGACGAGTTGCTACATAGATCCGTGAATCATCGAACACTTCCTTAATTGAGTTACACCCCAAATAACTTCACACCAATTACTTAGCTTTTCTCCTTGCTAATTATAATACTCGATCAACCCTATATATATATATATATATATATATATATATATATATATATATATATATATATATATATATATATATATATATATATATATATATATATATATATATATATATATATATATATATATATATATATATATATATATATATATATATATATATATATATCAAGAATCCTATACGTCACAAATATCTCCCAAATAAGTAGTCTTTATATTAATCTGAATATAGTCTAAAATATGAAAATAAAAAATTTAAACTTGTGTCAAAATACATTAAATCAAGTCAGTAGATATTTTCTCTATTTTGAGATGCATACATTTTTATTTTATATTGCAAATTGCAAACAGAATAGATATTTAAATCAACTCAGCCAATGGCGTTGAACCACATAACCCAATTCAACAACACTAAATCATTACATAGCACCAGATATTTCGACCGACACTACCATCTTTGTTTTCTTCCCCCTCTAAATTTTTGCTAACACTATCACTTACCAACAAGAAACCAAAGTCCAAAATTCTTTTCACCTCACAGCCCCACTCTGTTTTTCTCATTGTCACTCTTCTATTCACTTTTCCTTATCAACTCTCTATAAATAGCCATGCACCTTCTATCATTCAGATTCCCCCCACCACTCTCTCCTTATCCTCCTCCCTTTTTCTTCACTCTTTTTCAAAGAGTGATAATATTAATATATACTCTACTATAGTAGTAGTATTAAATTAGTACAAGAACATATTCTGTTTCAACTGTCTTCATCTTTCTTTATGGGTCTATTATTCTTGCATAACCAACATTATCCTCAACCCATCTTATGCTTCTTACTCTTCCTTGTTCTCAAAGGTAAAATTCTGTATAATTTTTAACAACCTTAAAAACATACTGTATTAAGGAAACTGACTCTGTTTTTTTTTTTCCCAATGAAGGTGTTTCAGTTTCCGGTGCAACATTTACGTTTCTGAATAAATGCGATTACACAGTATGGCCAGGAATTTACGGAAACCCGGAACTCGGAACAACCGGTTTCCAGCTCCCAAAAGCAACATCCAGAACCTTCCAAGCCCCAACCGGTTGGTCCGGTAGATTCTGGGCAAGAACCGGTTGTCAATTCGATGATTCCGGCCACGGAACATGCCTCACCGCCGACTGCGGCTCCGGCGAAATCTCGTGCAACGGAGCAACAGCCTCCCCACCAGCAACACTCGCTGAATTCACCCTCGGAACCGGTTCCTTAGACTTCTACGACGTAAGCCTCGTCGACGGTTACAATCTCCCGATGCTGGTAACCACAAGCGGCGGTACAGGGACCTGCGCCGTTACGGGATGTAGTACGGATATCAATAAGAGGTGTCCGTCGGAATTGAAGGTTGCGAACGGTGGCGCGTGTAATAGTGCTTGCGGCGCGTTTGGGAAAGCGGAGTATTGTTGTAACGGTGCGTTTAGTAACCCGGACACGTGTAAGCCTTCTGTTTATTCGGAAATGTTTAAATCTGCGTGTCCTAAATCTTATAGCTACGCTTATGATGATGCAACTAGCACTTTTACTTGTTCTGCTGCTGATTATACAATCACATTTTGTCCATCTTCTATACCAAGGTAATTTAATTTAATTTAATTCAGTTACATTAAATTAAGCTATTTTAGTCTATAGTATTTTATTAAATTTAAATTACTAATTTTGTTGTTGTTATTTTTGTGTATAGTTTAAAGTCAGCGACGGATTCGGGTTCTAATAATACGAATGAAACGAGTAATTCGGGTTTGGGGAGTGGGTCGGAGCAATCGGAACTGGCTTCAGCTTCGTGGATGGCTTATATGGCTACGGCTTCTGAGGCTTCTACTAGAAGCAGAACTTCAATGGTTTCTTTGTTGTTGTTGGTGGTGGTTGGTTTCATTTTTAATATTTTTGAGTTTCGTTGATTTTAGGTTGTATGCTTATCTTACTTTTTAAGAGAATATAAATAGAGATATACGGTTGGTAAAATTGTTAAATTAGTGTAGTGTTAAAACATTGTTTTTAAATTGTGTATAAAGTAGTAATAAGCAACTCAATGATTTGTTGCATAGTTTGATTGTGGTTTGTTGTGGTGATTTGTTTAAATGAGATTTATGAGCCTTTGGAATTGGAGGTATGGTGGTGGAGGTGGGGGAATGAATCATATTCTCTTGATTTTAAGTGTGAACAATAAGTTGTCTACTGAATTGATGGGTAATGAAATTAGTGGGTTTTGAGGCCCATCACCTTTTATGAGGGGGAGATAGAAAAATGAACGATTGTAATGTTTTCATTTCTTATTTTCCTTATTATTTCATGAAGCACCAAAGACACTTGTTCACAATTTAATGATTTGTGGCACTAATTCATTAACGTGGCTTTTGTCGCAAAGATAAATCATTAAGGAATTATGAGCAAATTTTTTAACACTCGTGTCATTATTTAATAAAATATAAAATATATTTAAATTAATTAGTAGATGATTAACCGAAAAACTGATTTTTTTTTCATAATGTTATTTTCGCATTTTATTTTAATATAATAAAGTTTATAAATAAAAAGTAAACAAACATTCATAAATTTACAATATACAATATTATTATTCATAAATCTATAGAGTCTTTGTAAAATATCAACTATCTTGTTTCTGCTGTTAAGAAATAAAAAATATTAGAAGAAAATTGTATGAATTTGAAACACTTTTTTAATGTTTGATCAATTTATCTGAAATTATTTTGGGAGCTACCTATCTCAGAGTCAAACTTATAGTCTTGAGTCCCACCAATAAAAAAATTTCAATCAAATCCACACAAGCATGTTTCACTCACCCACTCATACATCAGAACATCTGATGGTGTAATCGCCGATATCTCTTCATGTAGATTAGTCAAGAAATTTATAGGTGTCTTTTCTTCACAAATACTGCAGCCCTCTGAAATATATCAAATAGAACACTGCAGCCCTCTTCATGTTGATATTTAAACTCTAGAAACTCCCTATAATAAATCGAGTGTTTTCCCAATATATTCAAACACACCTTATGACAAGCAGAACAAACATCATACATCATATATAGAAAATGAATTATTTTTTTACTTTGATTAATAAAATATCATATGAGTGGTAAAAGAAATCTCCATGGCATTAATACTCTACCAAAACTTGTACAAGTTGTGTACTCTGAATGTAAACACACACACACACACACACACACACACACACACACATATATATATATATATATGTTCAAAGGAAGGAAAATTTATATGTGTTAAAAGGAGAAAATTATGAAATATGGTGTACAAAAATGCGGGTCATATTTATATTTCAAGATCTTATTGAAATCTTAAATAAAGGCTTATCTACATTGGAATTTAATGCAACCGGTGCGTAAAATATTGTTTATCATGAATCGAGCAAGAAGGATGAGAAAGGTCTGCTCTTGACCCATTTATGTGTGGATTCAAACATATTTGAGAAGATTATCGAGGAAGAAACGACTAAGGGTGCATGGGATACATTGAAGATGTTATATGGTGGTGATATAAAATTGAAGAAGGTGAAGTTAAAGTATTTGAGGAAGTAATATGAGAATACATAAATGAATGATAGCGAAACAGTTGCAAATTTATTCAGAAGATTGATGTTGCTGACCAATAAAAAAAGTCATATGGTGAGAAGATAATTGAATTATAGAAATTTGAGAAGGTTTTGAGAGCCTTAACTACCAAGTTTAATAACATAGTCGGGGCTATTGAAGAATCCAAGAACATATATGAGATGAAGCTTGAAATTTTACAAACATCATTGAAGGATCATGAGATGTGGTTGAAATAGATAAGTTCTAAGAAAGTAACAATACAATCCCTACAAGCTTAGTTCTTCAAAAAGATGAAAAAAGTACCTCAAAGATCATTAAAGAGAAAGAAAAACGAAAACAAAATAAGTGGAATGACGAAGGTGCAAGTAAGAACTAAGGAGAGCCAAGCAATAATTATGTCTTTCACACAAAGAAATTAAAGAAGAAGGTCATGCTTATTAAAGAAGAAACACAATTTGCATCTACAGACAGTAATGATGAAGTTATACTAATGGATAATACATATTTGGCACAAAACAAGACCAATGTGTGATATCTGTACACATGTTGCACAAATGACATGACATGAAACAAAGAATGGTTTATCTAGTTTGACAAATCAATAAGAAGAGCCAATAAAATTGCTAATAAGAATAGAGTTCCATATGAGGTCATGAGGAAATTTTTTTGGAAGAGTGGACAAGAAGCAATAGTCAGTGATGTGATATATGTTCCTTCTATGACAAGTAACTTAATTATCCTGGGTACTTGCTTGACAAGAACTAAACCATGAAGTTAGAGAATAGGGCACTTAAAGTATTTGATGCAGATTTTAAACTAACTTTGAAAGCACCTTTGTCAAACAACAAGACTTTTAAAGTTGAAATTCATATGCTTGACCATCAATGTCTTGAATTAACAATTAGTGATAATTATAATTGGATATGGCCTCAAAGATATGGTCATTTTAATTTTAGGAGACTGAGCCCGGTGTAGACGAAGAAAATGGTGTATGGTCTTCCTTAAATTAAAATACTAAATAAATTATGTGAATAATGTTATGTATCAAAGTAAAAAAGGAAGTCATCCAAACATGACTTGCCTATGAAGTCAAAACAGAAATTAGGGATGGTTCATTCAGATGTCTATGGACCATTTGAAGTAAAATCAATAGGAGGTAATTAATATTTTCAAACCTTCTTAGATGAATTCACCAGATATATGTGAATTTACTTGATGGAGAAGAAAAGTTAAGTATTCACCCAGTCCAAGCAATTCAAATTGTTGGTTGAAAAATAGGTTAAATATAGCATAAAGAAATTATGAACTGGTGGAGGAGGTGAATATACTTCAACCGAGTTTTCACATTTTTGTGTGAAAGAAGGTATTCATCATAAATTTATAGCTTCTTATACACCTCAACACAACAATATTGCTAAAAGAAAGAATAATAACATATTGAACGTCGCAAGAAGCATGCTCAATGCTAGGCAAAAGACAAATTATTTATGGGGATAAAAAACCTCAATTGTTGTACATATCATAGGCAGATGTCCAATAAATAAAATGATGACCAAGTCACCATATGAAGCATGGACATACGTAAAGCCAAGTGTTGATCATTTCATAATATTTGGATCACCATGCTTTAGACATGTACCTGAACAATTAAAAAGAAAAATGAATAATAGAAGTCAGACCATATATTCTCATAGATTATCAATCAATATGTGCATATAAATTATTCTCACATAATGATAATAAAATGGTAAGAAGCATAAATGTGTAATTTAGTGAGAGCAAAAGATGTAAATGGCTGAAAGTTTCAAATTATCCAATGCAGAATGGTGAAAATTCAAGCAATATTAGAATTGTATTGCCAGAATATCAAGTAGAGGAAGCTGCACAAAAACCAGAGGTAGGGAGGTCAACTAGGGAAATAACTCGATAAATTAAGTTAACTGACTACGATAGATTCCATGATCAATCAATAGATAAAGATAGTGACTTGATAGAAGAAGCCATGATGGCTGAATCAGAACCAATCGACCTTAATCAAGCTTGGAAATATGAGAACTTGAAAGAATCAATGAAGGAAGAGCTCAGGGAAATTGATAAGAATCACACATGGGATTTGGTGAATCACTTAAGCAATAAAACGATAAATGTGACGTGGGTCTAAAAGTTGAAGCTTTGACTAAATGGATAGATAGCCAAACACAAAGCAAGACTAGTTGCAAAAGTATTTCTTCAAAGACTTGAAACTGACTATAATAAGGTATATATACCCCGTGTTAGGCTTGAAACTATAAGAATAATGATTGCAATTTTAATATACAAAAGGTGAAAGATGCATTAACTGGAAATAAAGTTTCTCTTTCTTAATGGACCACTACAGAAGGAGGTCTATGTCAAGCAACCACTAGGCATTGAGATCAAAATGCAAGAAGAAAAGGTACATAGGTTGTAAAAGGCTCTATATGGGTTGAAATAGGCACATAGAGCATGAAACAAAAGAATCGACATATTTTTCATTAAGTTTGGACTCAACAAATGCACATTAGAATATGGAGTATATGTAGATGATTCAAATGAGGAGGATTAGATCTTGCTACGCCTATATGTCGATGATCTTTTAGTCACATGATTAAATGAATGTGAACTAACAAGATTCAAGACTAGCATGGAGAATGAGTTTGAGATGTCTGACCTATGGAGCTTGTCTTACTTCCTAGGAATGGTATTTTTTAATACAAAAAATGGAGCTTTCTTGTAGTAGAAGAAGTATGCATAAGACATTTTGAATATTAAAAATGAGCAATTGCGATCATTCAGACACTCTCATGGAAACATGCATAAAATTGAAGAATGATATAAATGATGAGCTTGTTGATGCAACACTATAAAAGCAAATCGCTGACTTACTACAAGACTTATGTAACACAAGACGTGACATTTTGTCAAACTATTCGTTTGGTAAGTAGGTTTATTGAGAAGCCTATATCAAATCACCTAATAACAGCCACAAGAATTCTAAATTACATTAGAGACATTTAAGATCTTGGCGTATTCATGACAACCCAGAATAGTACTAGCAAGAAAGAAATGGCGTAAGGCTACTCTTATTTAGATTGGAAAGGAGACTAATATGACATAAAGAGTACCACAATATATTTGTTCATGATTGGAGCAGTTCCAGTTTCATGGAGCTCGAAGAAGCAAGGGATAATGGCACTACCATCTTATGAAGCAAAGTATGTATCTGTCTCATATGCAACATGTCAAGCAATGTGGATGTAAATGCTATTGGAAGAGTTGAAGATCATTGTAGTTGTGCAATAAATT